TACATACATATGCACATACATGCATACATATATTACATACATACATATGTATACATACATATATATACGTACATACATACCTACATGTGTACGTTCATTCACATATACAGTCATACACACATACACATATATTTTACAAATACGTCAATGCAAGGACGCACACACATGTATGTATGCGTATAGGGGCGTGTGTACATAGGCCATCCATCCCAGCATGCCTGTACCACTATATTCCCACCATAAATGCGTTAAGTCTTTTATTGCGTGTGTGGGTCTTTAATTCATTCAATCAGGTGGGGAGGGGTTGGGGAGAGTGCTAGGAATTTGCAATTAGTGCTTAGAAAAAAATAAGGTTATGGAGCTAATACGTTACACCTTTAATCAAATGCAGACATGAACAAATGTGAAGTATAGATAGGTAGATATAGATAAGAATATGTGTATGTGTGTGTTTGTGTTTGCGTGTGGATGTGTGTATGTTTAGTTATCTATTCATTAATTTATTCATATAGGTATGTTAACCGTTGACATTCATTTGTCAAGAGAAGATTATTATTATTATTGATTTTTTCTTATCTTAACATAAATCGATGAAAAGATCAAACAACATTTTTTTTAATCAACTAAATAATGAAGATATAACTTAAATATTGAGAACAGTGTAAATATTTTTGCGATATTTTTTTCTTTAGATAATTAAATTTATCCTCATACATTTTCAAAAGACAAACAGTTCTCTTGCTGTGAGCTATCTGAGTTGTAATGGAAATCCATTAACATCTTAGCTGGCAGAGAGAGAGAGAGAAGAAAGAAAGAAGATAGAAGGAAGAAAGAAGAGAGAGAGAGAGAGCAAAAGGGGGAATGAGAGAGAAGAGAAGAGAGAAGGAAAGGACGGGGGAGGGAGAGAGAAAGGAGAGAACGGGGGAATAAGAGAGAAGGAAAGAGAGAGAGACAGACACAGACAGATAGAGAAATAGAAAGGAGGTAGAATGATGGACAGAATCCCTATTCGAGCAAGCATACAAACATACAAAGACACGCACAGGCATATACAACCTCCCACCCCCACTCCTACATAAACTCCTCACACTCCACACCCTACGCCCCTACACAACCACCCCACTCCACAACCCCCCATACGTTCACTCCCCTTCCCATCCCCCACACAAGCTTCCCCCCCATCACACAACCCTCCACCCCATCCCACCCCCACACAAACATTCCTCCCTCTCTCACATCTGCCCCCTCACTCCATACACTCCCCCCCCCCAACCACCACCCTCATAAGCCTCCCCCACCTCACCCCCCACACAAACCTCCCCACTCCACTCCCTCACATTTGCCCACTCATTCGACACACTTCACCCCCCTCCACACCTCTCCCCACCCCACCCACACAAACCACCCCTGACGCACAAACTCCCCACCCTCACCCCCAATCCTCAACCCCCCATCCCCACAATCCATCCCCTACAATCCTCTACACCCATCCCCCCACAATCAACCCCATACCCCCCCACAATCCTCCAACGCTACCGCCCACAAACCTCCACCCCATAATCATCACCCCCCCTCCCTCAACCCCCACCCCCACCCTCCTACACAATCCTC